GAGCAGGGAGCCTGATGCGGGACTCGATCCCGGGACTCCAGGATCATGACCTGAGCTGAAGGCAGTCGCTTAACCAACTGAGCCACCCAGGCGCCCCCATGTATTCTCTTTTTTACTACGTGCCGGCCCTGCCAGAATAGAAGCTCCATGAGGGGAGAGACTGTTCTGTTCTGTACTACTACATTCAAGACCTGGCATTGTGGTAGGTGTTCAACAAATACTCGTTGACCGGGTGCTTAAAGTAAAAAGCAGCGTCTAGAGAAAGAGGAGAGTAGTGATATGCGCAGTGTGGAGAAAGGTGGGGGCGCCAAAGAGAGAGCATACAGGGGCAGCAACCCCCCAGAACTCAGGTGTCCGCTCTCTTCCCCATCAGAGCTGGGTCCCAACAACTGCCCCGCAGGTCTCTGGGATGGGTGAAGGTGGCTGGGAGGTTGGCAGGGAAGAGCTGTATGAGAGACTATCTTCTGCTATTCTGAGTGGCAGTAATAGTTTCTTTCTTTCTCTCTTTCTTTTTACAAATGTTCATAGTTTATTAATCCTCTCATGAAAAGTCTGCACAATCACCATAGATAAAGTGACTGCAGAATCTTTACTCCTTTTGGCCTGCACCAGCCTTGGCCTATGCGGTGCCCTGACTTTCTTCATTCTGTTCTCATGTCCCACTTGCTGTTTTCTTGAGGTCTTTTTCTTCTCATGCAGACCATGTCTTGCAAGGCTGTCTTTGGGTTCATTTTTCTTTCATAATCCAAGGAATTGTAAATCATGCCCAAGCCAGCTGCTGTGCCACCACCAACATGGGGTTCTGACTCCGGATATAAAGATGACATCTGGTGTGGTCTTGTCCATTTTGGCTAGTTTTCCCCCAAGTTCTGCCTTAGGTACTGTTGCCTTCTCAGGGTGAAGAACATCAGTGACCACGTTTCCACTAAAGTAGTTGGTTGGCTAAAACTTCCTGATCCAGACAGCCACAGTGTCATTCAAGATGGAAGCTGATCAGGAGGCAGCCAGGGAGAAAAAGAGTGCAGTAATATTTCCAGCCATGAGAAACCCCAGACACCCAAGAGACTCAAGTGAAGCTATGGATTTTCCCATGGGCACTCCCTCCATGCTTCAAAACTGCCCTATGCCAATGGGACAATGGAGGCCTTCACTGCCAACTGGGTCTCTCTTCCCCAAAGATCTGCTATCTAGAGAAAGGGCTGTCCCTTCCTCTTCTCTCCTCCTCATGCCCTCTGCCCTACCTCCTTGCTTCCTCCCCACCACTGATACCCTGTCCAGTCCTTCCCACCTACCAGGTGCCAGACCAGATCCCAGGGCTTACAACAACCCCACATCCCCATTTCATAGGTGAAGCCTAGAGAAGCTGAAAGACTTGCCCCCAGTCACACAGTAAATGGCAGAGCTGGGATGTGAAGCTGGTCTACCTGTAACCAAATCCAGTGTGCCTTCCATTCTATCCTAAACATCACCATCTCCCCAGAAGGGGCTGCGAGTGAAGTTTGACCAGGGCGGACAATACCTGCAGTTCCCCCACGTGGCCACCAGGTGGCTGTGAGCAGGCCATTCCAGGTAAGACTTCTTCCTTTACCATTCTCTCTTCAGTCTGGGGAATCTCACGGGCCTAGGCTCTCATGGAAGATGGGTGTGTGTCTGAGGCACAGATAATACCCACACAGGCCCCCTGTCCAAGCCCCAAGAATCTGGGCATTGTCAGTACACACATTCTTAGCACAGACCCATTTGTTCATTCAGCCAGTATTCACTGACAATTCCCTGGGCTTTGAGTGGGTGCTACAGACAGAGAGATGATCTGGCCACATCCCTGCATTTTCTTTTCTTTCTTTTTTTCTTTTTTAATTCTTTATTTTTTTTAAGTAAACTCCATGCCACACATGGGGCTCAAACTCACAACTCCAAGATCAAGAGTTGCATGCTCTACAGACTGAACCAGCCCGGCGCCCCCACATCCCTGCATTTTCAACGTTCAATAAATATTTATTGAGCACGTGCTACTTTCCAGGCATGGTTCTAGGCACAGAGGACAAGGCAATGAACAAAAATCCTTGGCTTCTTCACAAAGCATCCATTCTGATGGGGAAAGATGGACAATCTACAAATAAACACTTAATATGATATTAAGTAGGGGGTCCTTGAGGATCTCACAGACCAGAAGAACAGACAAATGTACACGGTCACAACATGATACAATCTGGTTATTTAATACGCACCTACTTAGCACTTAAGTGTAGAGGGAGTTAACTACAGAAGAAGATAAACATGGTTCCTGCCTTCATAGAAATTACAGCCTAGGATACAAAAGAGTAATTAATTATACATTTGATACATGTTTTGAAGCAAAAAGGAAGTATCATGAGTGGGGAAAAGAAATGGGTCGGTTTTAGGGGCCTGAGACACACTCAGGTGGAGGTGCCCAGGAAGCAGATGGACCCATTGGATCCTGGGTTCACATCCTGGCCCCCCTCATTGTAGCTGTGTGCCCCTGGGCAGGTGATTTTACTTCTTTTTTTTTTTTAATTTATTTATTTATTTTA